TTGGCCTGTAGTTTTCTTTCCTTGTGGTGCCTTTGTCTGACTTGGATATCACAGTAATGCTGGCTTCATAAAATGAGTTTGAAGTGTTCTTTCCTATTTGATATTGTGGAAGAGTTTGAGAAGGATTGACATTAACCTTTAAATGTTAAGTAGAATTTCCCACTGAAGCCATTAGATTCTGGGTGTTTCTTTTTTTGATTACTGAATCAATCTTATTATTAGTCATAGATTTCTTTTCCAACTTTATATTTATTCATGATTTAGTCTTGGGCTGTTTCTAGGAATTTATCTTTTTTTTCCCTTTAGGTTATCTGACTTATGGCATAAAATTTTTCAAAGTAGTCTTCTGTGATCTTTTTCTTTTGTAGCACTACATTTTGTTGGAATGTTTCCTCTTTCACTTCAGATTTTATGTATTTATTTTAACCTGTTTTTTTCTTAGTTTAGTTGAACGTTTGTCAACTTTGTTTATCTTTTCATAGCACAAAATATTAGTTTCATCGATTTTTAAAAATGGCTATTCTAGTCTTTATTTTGTTTATTTCTGCTCTAAATTTTATTATTTATTTTGCCGACTTTGGGTTTAATTTGTTATTGCTTTTCTAATTCCTTGAGGTGTAGAGTTATAGTTTTTAATGATACTTTTCATTTTGTAATGTAGGCATTCATTGCTCTAAACTTCTCTTTTAGTGCTGTTTTCGCTATGTCTGAGTTTTGGTTTGTTGTGATTTCATTTTTGTTTGTGTTCATGTTTTTAAAAATATCTCCTCATGATTTATTTTTTTGACTCACTGTTTATTCAAAAATGGGTTGCTTAATTTCCATATATATGTGCGTTTTCAACAACATACAATAATTAATTGGATTTCTATACTCTAATAATAAACTCTCGAACAGGGAAATTAGGAAAACAATATCATTTAAAATGGCATCAAATAGAATAAAATTCTCATGAATAAGTTAAACTAAACAAGGAAAATACTTTTTCACTGAAAATTATAAAACACTGATGAAAGAAATTAAAATATTGATGACATAATTAGTAAAGACACAAACAAACAAATTGCAAGATGTCCTGTGTTCATGGATTGGAAGACTTAATATTGTTATAATGTCTATGCTACCTGCTTTGATTTTAATGTTTGTGTCTCCTCCAAGATTCATGCTGAAACTTATCTTCAGTGCAACAGTATGAGGGACCTTTAAGAGGTAAATAGGCCATGAGAGCTCCACCTTCATAAATAAATTAGTGCCTTCTAAATTAAGTTGAAGGGGTAATTTTGCCCCTTCTGCCATGTGATGACACAATGTACCTATTCTCTAGAGCAGGGGTCCTGTGCCCCTGGACCATGAACTAGTAGTTGTCCGTGCCTGTTAGGAATGGTGCTCTCAGCAAGAGGTGAGGGGCAGATGAGTGAGTGAAACTTCATCTGTATTTATAGCCATTCCCCATTGCTATCATTACCACCTGAGCTACGTCTTCTGTCAGATCAACTAAGGTATTGGAGTCTCATAGGAGTATGAGCTCTATGGAGGCATAAAATTGTGCACACAAGGGATCTAGATTACATGCTCCTTATGAGAATCTAATGCCTGATAATCTGAGGTGGAACTGAGATGGTGATGCTAGCACTGGGGAGTGGCTACAAATATAGATTAACATTAGTAATAAGGCTTAAGGCCAGGCTTGGTGGCTCAGCCTGCAATCCCAGCCCTTTGGGAGGCCGAGATGAGTGGATTGCCTCAGCCCATGGGTTCGAGACCTGCCTGGGAAAGTTGACAAGGACTCGTTTCTACAATTAAAAAAAAAAAATTAACCAGACATGGTAGTGCGTGCCTGTAGTTCCACTATTCAAAGGCTGAGGTGGAAGGATCGCAGAAGCCTAACAGGTCGATGCTGGGGTGGCTGTGAGTGTGCCACTGTAGTCCAGCCTGGGCGACAGAGTGAGACTTCAACTCAAAATATAAATAATAAATAAATAAATAAAAATAGGAAATATTGAGGCTTGACTGCACAGAGACCACAATAAATCAATTGCTTTCAGACTAAAGTGAGTGGCAGTTGATGTACTTCAACTGCACAGCTGCATCTGGTGGCAGGCTTTATGTCAGAATCCAACACTTATTTTGTCTGCATGTGGCTCCTTCATTATTTTCATTTCTGCCTCCTTTTTTTATGGTGAGTTGTATAATTATTTCATTATAATTACAATGCAATAATACCAAAAATAAAGTGTACAATAAATGTTACATGCTTTAATCATCCTGAACCCATTCTCCACTCCACTCCCATCCATGGAAAAGCTGTCTTTCAGGAAACTGGTTCCCGATGCCAAAATTGTTGGGAACCACTGCTGTAGAGGATGCAGCAAGATGCAGCAAGATCTTGGAAGTAGAGAGCCGCCCTCACTAGACATCGAATCCACCGATACTTTGATGCTTTTTCTGCCCTCCGAACTGTGAGAAATAAATTTCTATTTTTGCTGTAAATAACCTAGTCTGTGGTATTCTCTTATAGAAACACAAACAGACTACTATATTACCCAAAGAGATCTTCAGATTTAATACAGAATAGGGATTCAACTCAATCCTTATCAAACTCCTGGTGACATTTTTACAGAAATCGATAAAAATCCTAGAATTCATAGGGAACCACAAAAGATCTTGAACAGTCAAGCAATCTTAGAAAGAAGAATAAACTTGGAGGCATCACAGTTCCTAATATCAAAGCATATTCCAAAGCTATAGTAATTAAAATAAAATGTATTTGCCTAAGACAGATATAGTAACCAGTGTAACAGAATAGAGATCCCAGAGATAAACTTGCACATATATTATTAACTGAGCTTCAACAAGGGTTCAAAGATTATACTCTGGGGGAAGAGTAGTCTCTTCATCAAAGGATGTTGGGAAACTGAATATCCCTATGCAAAATAATAAAATTGGACCCTTATCTTACAGTATGCCTAAAAGTCAATTCAAAATAGAAGGTGGGAGAAAAATGGAGGGTAGAGCTGTTTTGTTCTTTCACTAAAAATCCCAATTTCACCTTCAAGTGTGTTGAGGAATTGACTACCTTGTGGCAAGAATCTGATCCTGGTGATAAGTTTAAAGTAAAATAATAATAATAATAATAATAGCAAATGTGCATAATATCCACCTTTTTCATAGAAATTTATCATTAAATATTCCCTTTAAGCAAATGTAGCTAATATGAACCATTGGAAGGGGAGGCATGGGGAAATAGGAAAAATTAAAAGTCAGAATTATTGTCTGCTCAGGAAGATGTAAGGAATGTTTATGGACAGCAATCTCAGCTTACCAGTCAGTTCCCTCAGCCTTCACCTTGGCACCCTATGTAGCAATCCTGAGTTTGCCGCAGGAGACAGTACATCCTAACTTGTTTTAGCCAGAAAAAAACTGAGCAAAGAGAGGAAAGAAGAGACAAAGTAGGAATTATGAATTAGAAGAGACTAGCACTATCATTTGGGTGGGGAATTATTTGTATCGTGGTCTCTTTGAGTATTTTACTTTATTTCAATGTTTTTCTTTTTTAATAAAAACAAGTAGAAGCATCAGGATTCTGAGATGGATCTTAATATTAGGTTATGTAGCCTGTGTTTTATGGACAGCAACCTGGCAATAGATAGCAAAAGTAATGAAACTGAATGTGTTACCCATAGTACCATTCCTGGAAATGTACCCAAATAAATATTTTTAGAAGAAAAAAATTATGTGCATGTCACTGAATGATGTCCCTGAAACATTTTTTTTCCCCTTCTTCGTGTATCTTTTGAGAAGGAAAGGTAACCTGCTTGGTCTTAATACTTCCAAGGCAGAATTTCTCTGCATAATTATTTCTATTGATAACCATTCATAATGAGAGCGGACATGTTGTTAAAAACATATTTATATGCATCCTGTTATTTAGGCCAAATATACTGAAGGTAGATGTTATTATTTCCATTACATTGAAAAACTGAGATCAGAGAATATGAGACCTTGATCTTAACTTTACAGCACCACCGTCCTCAAGGTTGGTTCCCTTGACTGGAGAAACCAAGATTAGAAACTTGCTTTTCTACTCAACGCCTAATCTTGTTTTTTTGTAATGGCTGATATGGAACCCTGAGGTGGAACCCTAGAGTATTTCATTTTAAATGCTTCCTGCCTCAGTGTTTTTCTGTATTAAAGTGCATACCTCTGGAGGGAGAGACCATGTTTAGCTTTTTCTCATAAACCATACTCCAAATGCTCAAATACACACACACACACACACACACACACACACACACACACACACACACACACAATACAATATAAAATAAAATTACCCATGAAAACATCTTGGTTTCTACACTGCTTCTACTACTTTTTAATTAATTAAATTAGAATAGGATACTTAAGCTCTCTGATTTTCTACTTCTTTATTTATAAACAATAAATATAATGTTTACCCATGACTCCTAAGGATTACAATTGGATCAATCAATTACAATTGAGACATAGTTCAGTTAATTACTATTGAATCTCAATTATGAGTCAAATAGATATGTTTCTCTTGAAATAAATAAATGTATAAAAGCAGAGTCCCTCAATGCTTCGACCTTGAACTGGTACCGGTTTGCGGCCTATTAGAAACAAGGTCCCACAGCAAGAGGTGAGCTGCATGAGAGTGAACCTCTGCTTCCTGTCAGATCAGTGGGTACATTAGATTCTCAGAGGAATGCTGACCCTATTGTGAACTGTGCCTCTGAGGGATCTAGGTTGCAAGCTCCTTATGAGAATCTAATGCCTCATGAGGCCTTGCAACCACGTCCATGAAAAATTATCTTCCATGAAACTGGTCCCTGATGCCAAAAAGGTTGAGGACCACTGTTCAAAAGCACAAACCAGGAAATGCAGCTATTATAGCTCAACTGTCCAAACAGGAAATGCTTCTTTTTAAATTGCTCGTGGGCCAGAAATGCAGCAAACTAAGAGAGTAGGGGATTTCTCTAATGGTGCGCAACAAGAGAAGTAAAAGACCACAGGTGGACCTGTGGTATGCAGAAGAAAACTCAGAGGTAAGAATAGAAAAAAAAAAAAAAAAATAGAAGAGGCTCTCCTTGGAAGATGGCTTCAGCGTTTGGGATGCTGTTTACAATCCTTCTTTTTTCCGTAGCTGGTAAGTCTGTTGGGCAGAATGAGGGGTGTTGGGTGGAAAGAGAGGAGACCGTGACGAGAAAGATACATTAGAATATTTTCCACCAGAGTTTTTCATGTCCTTTAAAATGTTCAGTTTTATTCTTCTCTTTCTCATCTCCTTGGCTAAGAATTTGGGAAGGAACCTAGTTGTCTGCATTTCTCACGAGCTTCCAGGTAATGGTGAGGCTGCTGATCTGCAGATCACATTTGGAATAGCAAAGCTTTAAGGAAATCTTATTTGAAAAGGAAGTCTTGGGACTTTGTGACAGTTCTTAGCGAGACGCATCTTTGCACTTTCTGCAAAAAAAAAAAAAGCGAGAAAATTTCCATATAAATGAGACTTTTTTTTAAACACAAGCATGGACTATCTCAGTGCTCTGTCTTATTGACTGTGAGACCTTTGGTTTGACATCTCTGTTCTGTGCCTTTGGAGACAGATTCTTCATCTGTAAAATAGGAGTAGCCATTTGACTCCCAAGAGAGTTTTTTTAGCACTAATCTAGAAGCATCTCTCACATAGTAGACAATAAAGGTTATTTTCTACATTATCTATTAAATAATATATTTATATTTTTATACATAATTATCATTTTTACATTTCAACTAGCTTTAACTGTTTTGTTTATCACTTCCTGATATATGCTGACAATACATTTTAATAATTAGATTGTGTTACTGGACATCATAAAAATTAATAAAACTTGACTTATTTAAAAATGCATTTTATACGTGCTTTTGCACTACCCTCGTGTGATCTTCTTTTCGATTACTCTGAACTCTCAAGGAAGCTTTGATAGTGAGAATAATACGGGTCTTGAAGAAAAACATCTGATTTTGAGACTCAGAGATGTCACTAATGATATTGGGCAAATGATTTTGCATCAGTTTCCCCATTATACAGTGAGGACTAGTTACCTATTTCTCTGGGCTGGTGTTATGGTAAGTGAGCTAATACACGTAAACATGTGATATGCTAGAGACTAATGAATTACCACTGTTGGTTACCAAAGATTCTTTGCTTAGCTTGTTTATTCACTCTTGGTTGGGTTGCCTCATTCATCATAAATGTACTTGACCAATTTGACATGAGTTTGAACAAATTCATTTTCTCTCCAAGTGAACACATTTATGTTTATTTTCATTTAATAGAAAACATTTAATTTATCCATTTTAACCAATAAGGAAACTGAATGATATTGAGATTAATTAGCATTTCACTTGAACTATATAATGAGTATGATATTTTTTTGAATGTTAGCTTAACACGGAGAAATGAGAAAAACGAAAATTATATAGTGAAGATTTAGCATAAAACAACTGAGTTAAGTTAAAAATCTCGATTTTAATCTTACCAAATTCTTAAAGTTGGAATCTTTGATATTGGAATGTATTTTAAAAAAATTTTTATTGTAAAGATGTGGGGTACAATTCAGGGTCAGGTATACACACAGTGATCATGCAGGTACCCCTGTTAATGAGGTATGCCCGTCCCTCCCCTAGCAGTTTCCCTGTACTGCCAATCCCCCCTCCCCAGCTGATTCCCATTACTGCCAATCGCTCTCTTATAGCATTGTAATTGTTCAAGGTCATCTTATGAGTGAGAACATATGGAACCCTGTTCTTTATTTTTGTGATAAATCATTGAGTATGATCGACTGCAAATCCATCCAGGTTGCTGCAAAGTCCATATATTTGTCATTCTTTATGGCTGCATAATATCCCATTGTGTATATGTACCACATTTTAAAAATCTAGTCTAGCTTCGATATGGAATGTATTTTAAAAAATGAACTGCTGATTCAAGTCATTTAAAAATATTTCTACATAGAAATCTTACCATTTAATTTTTTTATTAAACCATAACATCCCAACATGTAAGAACCATTAATCCTAGAAGAACACCCCATCAAATAGTCTCCAACACTTGAGTTTTGCTAGATAATTTGAATAGCTTGGGAAAATTTTATTTAGAGATTTATCTGCCTATTTTTATTTTAGTTGTTTTTTCTTTTGCTTCTAGTTTAGAGTTTCTCAGATATTTAATAAAATGAAGATACATTGCAATGATTTTGAAGTGGCAGGTATGAGTCCCAGTTTCCAATTACCCTGATTACAGAACTCAAGGAATTTAAAACTAAGGGAAAAAAAGCAAAGGGAATGCAAATAGTAAAGAGGGAAACCAACATCGATCACATAGCACTCCTAATTCATTTAAACTACTTCTTGTTCATCTCTCATCTCTTTGGGACCTTACCCTTCTGGTATTCCTTCACTTTATTACACAGACATTTGTCTCCTGTGTGAGAGACTTCCCTACAGGAAACTGCATTGTCCTTTTCAATTGTCTGTGTCATAACAGTCTTTTTTCACTCCTTGCCTGTGGGCAGCATCTTTGGATTGGAACCTCACGTACACAGCGATTCATCCCTGTGTGAAACTCCTGGAGTTTTGTATTAATCTGTTCCTAAACCTTCTGCACTCTATAATGTGCCTTCAGGTAAAGCCTTTGGCACTGGCAGCAGCGGGCAGTACAGGACAGGAAAGGTGGCGGTTCTCTGGAAGGTGTTCATGTCTCTCATCTTTCCATGCCCTGTCGTAGCTTATTACCTTTCCCCAGAGGTACCCACAATCACCCTAGGCCAGCTCTCTTTTTCAGAAACATCTTTAGCGGTGCAACCAATTCACCTGGTAAAATATCTCTATTTAAAAATCAGCTTCTTCTTCTTTTTTTTCTTTATTTTAAAGATCTGGGGTACAATTCAGGATAAGGTATACAAATGTTCATTAAGCAGTTACCCTTGTCGATAAGGTGTGCCCCTTCCTCCCCTGGCAGTTTCACTCAACTGCCAATCCCACCCTGCCCCCAGCAGTTACCCACTACTGTCAATTCCTTTCTTATAGTATTATGATAATTGTTCAAGGTCTGATTATGAGTGAGAACACATAGTTCTCTGTTCTTTGTTTCTGTGATAGATCACTGAGTATGATAGACTCCAAATGCTGCGAAGTCCATATGTTTGTCCTTCTTTATTACTGCATAATATTCCATTGTGTATATGTATCACATTTAAAAAAAAATCAGTCTAGCTTCAATGGGCAGCATGGTTGGTTCCGTGTTTTTGCTATTGTGATCAGAGCTGCTGCAAACATGTGTGTGCAGGTGTCTTTTTGATAAAATGACTTGAGTTCCTCCGGGACACCTTTTTCTTCCAAACTCTTCAATAGCTCCCTATTTCTTCTGTCTACTGGGATAAAATGTCAAACAAAGTGTCTCATGAAGGAGACATCCTTCATTAACTACTTATAACTGTGATTTTCAAGATGCAAACGTGTTTTTTATCCCAATGATGGCATAAAACTTCTAATTTCTACAATGATTTTCATGCAATTTTAGCCAGTTAACCGAATTGTCTATCATGTTGATTAAGACTTTAGGGAGAAACAGTGGCTCCCACTCTATTCAAGTACATATTGTTGATTTCATTTATTCTTTTCAATATATTTTCTAGCTTCAGGTAGTTCACGGAAGGCTGGAAAGCAGATGACACGGAACAATGCAACAATTCCTGCAGAAGGTAAATTCCTGCTTCCTTATGTAGCGGTCAGCACTGAGGGGAGGAGAGGTAAACTTTGTTAGAAACATTAACTGATTGCCAGGGTGGAGGCCCACCTTGTGACTACTTGAGAAACATGATAATCTGAGTGCTGTGTTACCCTGAATGACCCAACCTCTAGTTGTTCAAGCCATGTTCTTGCTTGCGTCTGAGCATTTGCCAACTTGGAGTGGTGGAAGGAGCAAGGATTGAACTACCTCTCAGGTCTGTGTTAAAGCCCTTTCCTCATCTAGTTGTATGATCGTTATTTGACCATGAAGTTCAAGGGCTTGAATGCCACAAAAGAGACTGGTGACTCCAAAACAGGAGGTGAGAGCTATTGGATGCAGAGTTTGGCAAAAACAGCTTTCATCCACATAAATGCTTGTCCCTCCGTAACTGGTACTGACCATGCTCTAGTAATGTCGTCAGGACATGCAGCTTTCTTAGGATGAGTTGTGACAGAGACTTTGGTTGATTAATCACCTCTCAGGAAATCCCTATTGGTTATGGTCACATTCTGCAGCTTTGTGGAAGGTGTAAGGCTCTCTTTTGGAAGATGCTTGTAGGATTCAGGGCTGAATTTTTACTTATAAGATGGCCAACCTCTATATTTAATCATGATAATTAGATTGAATTTACAGTAATAAAATCTGTGAGCAAAGTTTATAGTTGAACCATCTGAGGGTGTATGTGTGACTAAGTAGGAAGAAAGAGAAACACAGCCAAAGGCTACACTTGGTAATGTTATGACTGTGCAATACAAGTTTTTTTTGTAGAAAACATCCAGAGGAAAACAAATTTTGTCTTTCAAAAATTTATATATCATACTGCTTTTTCCCTATAAAGAAATATTTGTAAGCACCTCTTATCATTAGGCATCAACATTTTTCACTTTCATGGGATGGCTCAAATGGTGAAATTATAGTTTGCTTTTTATTTTTTATTTTACATCTGTGGACTTTACTGACTTGAACCATATGCTACTTCCCAACTTTAGAGAAGACGTTTAGTTTTTGATGTTACAGATTTGTGTGTGTGTGTGTGTGTGTGTGTGTGTGTGTGTGTGTGTGTGTGTGTTCACCAAAACTTAGGAGGAGAAACCACATTTAATTATTCTATTTTCTTTCCTGAGGTGCATGAATTGTATGATAAATAGAATGCTCTTCACTACCCAAAGTTTTGATCTAGAACATTGTCTCTGTTGTTATTTTCTTTCTGTTGCCAGATATTAAAGCTCCTGAGTTAATTTCAAAATGCTTTGTAAAATATATAATTTTTCTAAGAATACATAATATGAGAAAAATTGTTAATCACTGGTTTGGGTTCAATATATTATTTATATTGAATGTCAATTTTTTATGAAAGTCTAACATTTCTGGAAGAAGATCACTAGCAAAGTGATCTTCTGGTATACATGTAATATGCTGTGGGTTAATTTAACACATGAAGTTCTGTCAAGGTCTTCTTTTACCATTCTCCTGTGTTGTGCATATCCAGTTAACTCTTCATGTTCTATACTAATCAATAAGAAGGCTGTGCTCAGTTGTCCTCCTGTACATTTGACAACGTTGGTACTAATAAGGTGGGAGATAAACCTCAGAGACAAGCCTTCCTGTGAAAAAGCTTACAAAAGAGAAACAAATGAGATCAAGGACACCGGCTGTACTGATGAGCAAATAACCTGGGCCTCCAGACCTGATCAGAATCCTGACCTCCAGATTGAGCCAGTGGCCATCATTCATGATGGGTATTACAAGTGTGAGATGGTAACACCTGATGGGAATTTCCAACATGGATATCACCTCCAAGTGTTAGGTAAGGAACATCATATACATTTCACTTTACTCCATTTGAAGATTGAAGCTAATGTTTCTCTAAATTCCATATGCCTTATGTGAAGACTGAAGGGCTTTTTCCTCACATCTCTGCAGTTCCCCCTGAAGTGACCCTGTTTCTAACAGAGAATAGAATGGTGGTGTGCCAGGCAGTTACAGGGAAGCCAGCTGCGGAGATCTCCTGGACCCCAGAGGGAGACTGCGTCACTCAGCCAGAATATTGGGGCAATGGCACAGTGACTGTTGAGAGTACGTGTCATTGGGAAGGTTACAATGTGTCTACCGTGACATGCTCTGTCTCCCATTTGACTGGAAACAAGAGTCTGTATACAGAGCTTCTTCCTGGTCAGTAATTCTTTTTGTTTTGTTTGATTTTCCCATTCTTTCTAAGGGGTCATGTTAAGGAGAAACAAAGAGTGTACAGAAAAGTTATATTGAAGGATGCTCTCTCCAGTGTTCACTTTATTCCTCCCTCCCTAAAATAAAGACATATGTTTAGGGGAATAATAGACATATGCTGTTAAAAAATGAGGTTTATTCTACTTTTAGTGCCCACTTCTATACTAGTAGTTACTCATGAGTAGTATACTTTAAAAAAAAATTATTATTATTATTATTTTTTGAGTTGGAGTCTCACTCTGTCACCCAGACTGAAGTGCAGTGGTCGCTCCTGACCACTGCAGCCTCGACCCACTGGGCTCTGGCGATCCTTCCGCCTCAGCCTTCCCGAGTAGCAGGAATTACAGGCATGCGCTACCGTGCCTGGCTGATTTTTTGATTTATTGTAGAGATGAGGTCTCGCTGCCCAGGCGGGTCTCGAACCTGCGGGCTGAGGCAATCCACTCACCTCAGCCTCCCAAAGGCGCAGGATTACAGGCTGAACCACTGAGCCCGGTTTATAGTAACATTTTTGACTCAGTTTATCACTGTTTATTTTCTTCATTCTCTACTCCTTTATACTTTCATTTCTTTTTAAAAAATTAAATATTAAAATTATCCCTCCCACATATAGATTAAAGTATAACTGTTCCGTAGGAGTCTATGAAAAACTTCAGCCCTACCCTTACCTTTCCAACCCTGCTGCTCCATCCTCAGTCAACTCCACTGAGGCATGTACTTTCACATTTTCTAGTATTTCTTCTAGTAATTAATTTTCTTTTTTTCTTTTTTCTTTTTAGAAGATGAGAAAGTTGGATTTATTAGGAAGACAGAAAAGCTCCCACAGTGGGAGGGACCTGAAAGAGGTTGCCCTAGTAAATAATTTTCTAAACAATATGCTCATACTAGTTTTAAATTCTGACACTATGTACTCATTTCTTCCTAAGGTAGATGAGGATTTAACATTACCTTCTTTCCTTCCCTTAGCCTTCATATATAGTAATAAAACAATTTTTCATTAAATTTAATAGTCTGTGTTCACATTAATTTGAATATGTAAGTATCAGTCACTGATGAATCAAGTAATACACTCATGCTGTCTCTTTTGAATAACTTTGTTTTTCTCGGACTTCATAATTGGTTTACTTTTTTGTTTCCTTAAGAATGTATGTATCTATTGTGAATTATCACTAAGCTCGCTGATAAAACTAGAGAGCGCTTAGTAATATTTTTCCACATGTACAGATTTGTGAGGTAAACTGCCCGTTCTATATATTTTCCTTGAAGACATTCCTTCTTGAGCTCTTCCATGCTCTTGGTCTAACCTGTCTTGGTTGTCTCTACCCAGCAGCACAGCTGTAGTCCTGAACATTCTCTTCGCCAATTATTGCTTAATTCTGTGCTTGTTTAATCTGAGTTTTTCTGCCCTCAGATATCTGTTGGTTTTAATCTATTTTACATATAAGACATTTTATAACTCTTTGGTAATCCTTAGCTATGGATTCATTCATTTAATTAAAAAAAATTGTTTTTGAGTTAATGTCTCACTTTGTTGCCCAGACTGGAGTGCAGTGGCACAAATCCTATTGACCATAGCACCAAACTCCTGGCTCAGGCAATCCTTCTGTCTCAGTGTTCCAAGTAGCTGGGATACAGGTACATGCCACCATGCCTGGCTAACGTTTTGATTTTTGTAGGGACAGGGTCTCGCTCTGTTGCCCAGGCTGGTCTTAAATTCCTGAGCTCAAACAATCCTCTTGCCTCAGCCTCCCAAGTGCTAGGATTATAGGCATAAGTCACTGTGCCTGGCCCGGCTATGGATTCATTTTAAAGTGAGTACTAAAGAGCTGACTGGAAGTTCTACTGGCTAGCTTCAATACAGTGAAAAAAGTTAAATATATATGTTTATTAACTGTGGATTTGTTATGTATCTGAAGGTCTTTTCTCTGGGGCTATTCAGGCTTTCCAGAAACAACTCACTAGTCTCTTTTCCTGGAGAGATAAACCTGACTACCAGTGTTCTGGAAGGGAGAGGGGAGAGCTTGTGAATGTGTGTGAGTGGGCATGTGAGCGTCCCTCTCTTGAGAACTCAGACTTTCCTTTAATGCCTCTCTTCAGTCCAGCACTTCATCCCACCCTCCATGATGTCTGGATCCTTGACTCTGTCGTCTCTCCCATTCATCTTCTCTATACCAGTCTCCTTTTTTATCTGTTGGTTGACTAAGGTGTGCTGCACAGGGTGAGGCAGGAGTTGGAGACCTCCCTGTTCTCAATAGAGACTTTCAAAGGTGCTCTCAGCTTTTAGCCCCACACTTCACCTCTCTACAAACCCCCTTTTCTGTATTTGCTGTGTCCTACTTAGATATTTTTCTGAAGTTTTATTGTTGTACTTATTCTACTCTGTAGATCATTAGCCAGTCTTCTACTCATCAGAAGAGTAATTGTGTTTTGTTTATGAATGAAATTCCTCCATCCAATATTACCACATGATGTCATATTTAAAGAAGCTCAGAACTGAAGTGACCTTTTTGTCCAAACTTGCTCCTGGTGCAGGGGTCTCCTCTGCAAGGTGGATCTTCAACCTCTGCTAGTACAAGTCCAATGAGTGGGGGGGGGGGGGGGGGGGGGGGAGAGAGAGAGAGAGACAAAATAGGCAGTTTAAAAAAATGTTTTAGCATGAAAACCAAACTTGTTTTTCAAATAAAATATCAAGAGATCCAACACAAAAATAAGAGCTGTGGAAAGAAGTTGAAATGACTGAATGTCAACCTGCTTGGTCTCCATTTTACCTCCTCCTGTGGTCCTGAAATCACATTCATGTAACACCAGGAATATGTTTAAACTTCTTCCTCTCAAGCTACCAATTCTTTTGTTGACTTATAGGTTGAGGGTGATACTGCTTCCAGCAGAAGATAAAGTTGCTGCTGTGCACTCAATTTGGCTTCAGTGCCCAGGCAGAAAGGTGCCTTTAGAATTGGGCTTTTTTTTTTTTTTTTTTTTGAGTTGGGGTCTCACTCCGTCGCCCAGACTGGAGTGCAGTGGCCACTCCTGGCCACTGCAGCCTCGACCTGCTGGGCTCCGGCGATCCTTCTGCCTCAGCTTGGAAATACAGGTGCACGCTACCATGCCCGGCTAATTTTTGATTTATTGTAGAGATGAGGTCTCACCAAGTTGCCCGGGCAGGTCTCGAACCTGTGGTCTCAGGCAATCCACTGGCATTACAGGCTGAGCCACCCAGCCCGGCTGGGCTTATTTTTCCAACTACCTTCTTAACAATTACCCATTTATTCTCAATGTCAGTGGTGAAAAACACTCTATTCCCACTATAAACAGAGATCTCAATTTCACATCTCTTTTCGAGGAATTCATTATTGGTGAAAACTTAAAGCAATGAAATCCTAACATAAGGTGATGTCTTTGCTAGGAACTCTGGAGTCTGCATTGATAAAACAATTTAATTATATCAATTCTTTGAACTATTAAGTGGTCAGAATTATCTAAAATAAAATTACTGAAATGAATTTCATATACCGTGAGACATCAATGAAGCATATATATACATTTTTATATAAGATATATGTGCGTGTATGTACACACACACACACACACACACACACACACACACACACACACACACACATATATAAAGTTTTATGATTTTAGAACAGTTTTAGGCTCACAGCAAAATTGAGTGGAAAGTACAGAAAGTTCCCACATAACCCCTGCCTCTGCTCAGGCATAACCGCTTCAACTGTGGGCATCCTGCAATACAGTGTTACATTTATTACTATTGACAAACCTATATTGACACACTGTTATCAACCCAAACCATAGTTTCCATTAGGTTCCACTATTAATTTGTACATTCTATGGGTTTGGACAAATGTAGAATGGCATATATTCACCATATAGTGTCAGAATAGGTTCACTTCCCTAATAGTCCTCTGTGATCCACCTGGTCATCTCTCCCTCTCCACAAACCCATGACAACCGGTGATCTTTTAACTTCTCCCTAGTTTTACATTTCCTGGATATCATGTAGTTGGAAGCATACAGTCTGTTCCCTTTTCAGATTGGCTCCTTTCACTTAGCTATATGCATTTGTGATTCCTCCATGTCTTTTCAGGGCTTGATAGCTCATTTCTTTTTAACCCTAAATATAGATCACTCTTTGAATGCCCCATATTTGAATCATACAAATACTTTTATGTCTATGGTTTCAGGTACCCAAACACCAGCAACATTATATATTTATATCATCCTTCCTATTATTTTTTTGATCATCGTGGGATCGATTTGGTTTTTGAAAATCAGTGGCTGCAGGTATTGACTGATGAGTGCTTTTTCTTCCTCAGCTTTGTTGGGCTAGAGAAGAGTCAAATATGGAATTGACTGTTTGGTTATATGAGGCTGTTAACATGTAATCTCCCATAATCAAGAAGAGTACCCTGAAGATGTTAGACCTGGCCTACTTTGAATGATGAGAGGGTTTTTGCTAGGTTGCTTTGCCATGCAAGCATTGTAATTAGGCCATTTAGGGCAGGATCTTGGAAGAGACAGTACATGCTAATGTTTTTATTTGGGAAAATAATTAAAGTTCCCTTTATATACTAAAGAGAATGGTGTCACATATATTCAATTGCATCAAGTTCCTCCTGCATAATTTCACTTATTTTCCCAAGATACCGCATTTTCTTATTTGAGTGTATTAACCACAAGCAATATTATTTACTCATTTCTGGTAGTTTCTGATTTAATGTGGCTTCTATCTAAATGAAACACAATTGTCAATAGTATACTGCTTTTTTCTTTCTCATTTTGAATTTAAAGAATTATATTTCCTTCATTCACTCCAGCTTATTTTATTTTTATAGAAAATGTAAAGTGCAAAAAACAGAGGCTACATCAATAGTTGAGGAGGTAAGATTAAACAACCTGCAAACTTTTAAACCACATAGTTTGAAAATTAAGCAGCGTAAGTTGTTTGAATTTTAATGTTTCAGTTGAAAAGCTAAAACAATTCTGATTTTTACAATGCAAATATGTGCTAATATATTATTTTGTTAACTATCTACCAAGTTCTATTTATACACCACCCAGATGCACCTTTTCATGTTATGAACGGCATCCTAATACACAAGATGTTTGCCTCCTTTGGACTGAAATCTTCGGAGAAATTGAATTGATGTTTCCTCCCAAATGAAAATATCTCTAATTATTGATTTACTTTTCAATATGATCATTATTTCCCTCTTACCAAAGCCTAAAGTATTTCTTGCTCCTTCAATATCTTGCAAGTAGTAGCTTTCTACGTCTTCAATTCTCTCATTTGAAATCCTCACATCACTTCATTCATCTCCATTCTTTCACACAAATGTTCTCACACAGAAACTTAAGTAATCAACACATACTTTTTTGAAAAAATATTACAACAAAGCTTGCTCTTATGTTAATATAAGTGCAGAGACACAATATAAAGTACTCTTGTAGATACCAAAGCCACGGGCACGTGTTAGAAAAACACAGGTAGTTTCTATAATGACCTCTTAAACTGACTTTGAGTTATTTCTTAGGATGAAATGCAGCCCTATGCCAGCTACACAGAGAAGAACAATTCACTGTATGATACTGCAAACGAGGTGAAGACGTCTCAGGCATTGCAAAGTGAATTTTGTGGCACAGGTCTTCAAATTGTATATGTTGCTGAAGTCCAACACTAAGAAAAATGAATCAAGATACATTACAATCACTGCTTTAATTTTCTTACAGTTACAGAGTAGAAGATTTGTTCTAAAGTTAATTTTTCAAAGGTGCTTAGAAGGCAAAGACATTCAAATAGGTTCTGATTCATATCCTGGTATAACTGAACTTTAGATTCTTAGCTGCGACTAGCTAGTTCTCCAAAGAACTGATGTTATTATTCAAGAAAGAACATGCGATCCAAATTGTGCATTACATTATATAAAGAAAATCAAGTTTCTTCAAGAAATAACTCACAGGAACAACCAAAAGTTTATGTATCCTTCTAGAGAATTTGTATGTACATGTGACATGTTTACATTCCTATGGTATAGATGTCTGTGCATTTATATGTCTGTTTACATATACATCCACTTATCTTTGTCAAGACACCAATGGGATTATACTGTAAGGCTGTTCTGTACTTGTAAAAACCTAATAGTATGTGTTGGAGATATTTTCATAGCAACACAGATAGAGATATCTTTTTCTTTATAGCATCTACATAAAAATTATATGGCTATATCATAATTTAATTAGCAACAATCCCAGTGATGGACATTTAGATTTTTTTAGAGTTTTGTTTAAGTTTGTTTGTGGTATAAAAAATACCACATAAAATGTTTCTTGTGGATATATATCTTTGTATTTGAGTGTATCTTTAGGATAATTTTCTTGAGTGGTATAGTCAGGTCAAAGGATTTGTGCATTTTTATTATTCATAGATATGTCAAATTGCATCAGTTTATGTTCACTCCAACATTGTTGGGGTGTACTCTTATTTAACATCTGCAAGAGTTCCACTTTCATGGTTTCTACTTTTTCTATTTAATCAACTAGTTTTCTAACATGATTTTAGTTTATAATAAAAATTATACTATTTAAAAAGAATGGATTTATATTTTTGTCGCGTCTATGATAAAAAATAAAGAATTATTTTTTGGAGGACAGGCCCCTTGTAGTACAAGTTTCCCCCACTAGGTTAGTGTTCTGGGAACCTATTGGTATTGGTGTACCAGCTAGTGTTTTTGTGAGAGGCTGCATTTGGCTTCAGTGAATTTTGGGGGATATTCTTTCAACTCATTTGCTCATTTCATGATGGGTGATTTGAACAACCAAAACAGCATGATTCCTTATGCCCCACTCTACCTATTCACCTGATCTTACCTTGAGTGACTCTTTTGGTTTCCTTGGATGAAAAAAGTCCTCAAAAGCATTTTGCTGATGTGGAACAGGTGAAACAAAAAAATGGCAGAAGCACTAAAAGGCATCAAAATTGACAAGCTCAAAATCAAGTTAAGCAGTAGAAAAAATCTTGACAGGTGCATTGTGTCAAACACAGAGTACTCTGAAGATGACTTAAATTTAAATATGTAAGAATAAATACATAATTTTTTATAGATAAATTCTGGAGTTTTTTGGTTCCTCCCTTGTACATGAGAGTGAATGCATGTGTGAAGACATAAAGTTCTTCTGAACTCATTATGTCTCTATAGAAGTGTTGATGCTGAATGCCTAACAGTTTTGCAGATGTGTTAAATTGGAATTGTATGTTTTTATAGTGTACATTCTATTGTGATGTACTTATAACAAATGTCTACAGATTATATATAAGCAGGAAATATATACATGGAGGTTTGGAGATATTTATGAAATATGATCTACATGATAAGAGAATGGCAATGGGATAACAGGATCATTTTCTCCATTTTTCTGTGGAGTAAAATATTTAGAATGTCATTTTTTTATTATCATGAAGATTCTTTATTTTTTAATATCATGAAAACATATATTTTTTGGGTCAGGGTCTCTATTTCTGAGGCTGGAGTGCAATGGCACGATCAGGGCTCACTGCAGCCTCAACTTTCTGGGTTCAGGTGATCCTTCCACCTGGGTCTCCCAAAGTGCTGGGATTACAGGTGTGAGCCACCATGCCCAGTCAAAAATATTTTAAAAATTATTATTATTTTTTAAATTTTAGAGTTGTGAAATATAAGTGAGATTTTGCTACATAACTTAGCTGCATACAGGTGAAGTTTAGTTTTTCTGCTGGCTCTCTGTCCCCTGATAGTGGCAGGTCTACCAAAAAGATACCAGCACGCACGTTTATTGCAGCACTATGACCTGCCTCCCTTTTTCTCCTCTCCCTCCCCTAGCAGTCCCTAATGACTGCTGATCCCACCTTTGTGCTAGTGTGATTAGTGTTCAGGGCCTGCTTAGAGTGAGAACATGTGATATTCAGTTCTTTGTTTCTGTGATAGTTCACTTAGTCTGATGGTCTCCAGCTGCATCCAAGTTGTCACAAAGATCATGATTTTGTTCTTATTTATGGCTGCGTGATATTCCATTGTGTATATGTACCACATTTTCCTTATCCAGTCCACTTTTGATGGACATCTGGTTTGGTTCTATTTCTTTACTATTGCGAACAGTGCTGCAATAAACACGTGTGTGCAGGTATCTTTTTGGTAGAGCGACTTATGTTCCTTTGGGTATATTCCCAGCTGAAGGATTGCTGGATTGTATGGAAGCTCAATTTTTAGTTCTTTGAGAAATTGCCACACTGCTTTCTGTAGAGGTTGAACTAGCTTACCTCTCCACCAAGAGTGTAGAATCATCCCCTTTTCTCCGCAGCTGCACCAACACCTGTTGTTTTTTGACTTAGAAATGATAGCCATCCTTATTAGGGTTAGGTGTAGTTTTGATTTGCATTTCTCTGATGATGAATGGGACTGAACATTTTTTCATGTTTTTGTTGGCGGCTTGTATGTCTGCCTTTAAGAAGTGTCTGTTCATGTCCTTTGCCCACTTTTTAGTGGGGTTGTTGGTTTTTTCCCTGACAATTCGTTTGGGTTCCTTGTAGATTCTGGATGTTAGTCCTTTGTCAGATGCATACCTTGCAAATATTTTTTTTCCATTCTGTGGCTTGTCTCTTTACTCTCCTGATGGTTTCTTTTGCTGTGCAAAAACTTTGTAGTTTGATGAGTTTCCACCCGTCAATATTAGTCTTTGTTACATTTGGTTTTGAGGACTTGACCATGAATTCGTTGCCTACTTTAATGTCCAGAAGGGTATTTCTTGAGTTTTCTTCTAAGATTCTTTAGTTTGAGGTTTTACATTTAAGTCCTTGTTCCATTTTGAGTTTATTTTTGTATATGGTGATAGGTAGGGGTCCAGTTTCATTATTCTGTATTTGGCTAGCCAGATTTCCCAGAACTATTCACTAAATATGGTTTCCCTTTCCCAGTGTTTGTTATTGATGGCTTTGTCCAGCCCATTAACAAGCAGGCAAAGAAAATGAACTGACACTTCTCAAAGAAAGACATACAAGCAGCCAACAAACACATGAAAAAATGCTCAGCCTCAGTAATCATCAGATAAATGCAAATCAAAACTGCAATGAGATACCATCTAACACTGGTAAGGAAGGCTATCATTAATAAGTCAAAAAAGCAAAAACAGCAGGTGCTTGTGTGACTGCCAAGAAAAGGAAATGCTTCTATACTGTTGATGGAAATGCAAGCTAGTTCATCCTTGTGGAAAGCAGTGTAGCAATTTCTCAAGGAACTAAAAATTGAGCTTCCAGTAGGGGGATTGCGGGGTCATATGGGAGGTTGGTATTTAGAACTTTTAGGAATCGCCACACTGCTTTCCACAGAGGTTGTACTAGTTTACACTCCCACCAACAGTGTAGAAGTGTTCCCTTTTCGCCACACCCTCTCCAGCAGCTGTTATTTTTTGAGTTGTTGATAATTGCCATTCTGACTGGAGTTAGGTGGTATCTCAGTGTGATTTTGATTTGCATCCCCCTGATGATTAGTGAGGTTGAACATCATGAAGAACTCAAATCACTCTATAAAAAAGATACCCGCACACGTATGTTTATCGCTGCATTGTTCACAATAGCAAGAACACGGAAACAACCATGCTGCCCATCAAAAGAGGACTGGATTAAAAAAATGTGGTACATATACACGATGGAATACTATGCAGTCATAAAAAAGAACAAAATCATGAATTTTGCAGTAACCTGGTTGGAACTAGAGTCTATAATACTGAGTGACCTCTCACAGAAACAAAGATCTGAGTATCACATGTTCTCACTCATATAATGGACCTTGAACATCCAATGCAATACTATAAGAAAATGACTGATGGTACTGGGAAACTATGGGGGTGGGGAGGGAGATGGGATTAGCAGTAGCAAGTGTCTGTCTGGGAACGGGGAAACACCTCATATCAACAGGGTGCCTGAATGAAACGTAATTGTATACCTAACCCTTAACTGTACCCCACAACATCATAATTAAAAAAAAAATTGAGCTTTCATACAATCCAACAATTCCTCTTCTGAACTGAATATCATGTGTTCTCAGTCATAAGTGGGCCCTGAACAGCAGTTACACTAGCACAAGGAGGGCGGGATCAGCAGTCTCTAGGGACAACTGGGGAAGGAGGGAGGGCATCACATGGCAACACAATGGGTACCTGGTCCACGATTGGGGGAGAGACGACCAGCAAGAAACCCAAACTTCCCCTTCATGCAACCTACTTATGTTGTAAATCCTCACGTGTGCCCTACAACTATAAAATAAAAAATAAAATAAAACTATTTAACAACCCCCAAATTTGCCAGATAATAATTGTGTCTATTTATGAGATACAATGTGATGTTTTGATTTATGCATGTATTGCAGAAAGATGGAGCCAAGTTAATTAACATATCCGTCACTTCGGTAACTTACTTTTCTGGCAAGAACTTTTAAAAAAAAATATATATATATATAGCACTTTTGAAATACTAGCACATGTATGATATGCTCAGAGTTGTGTGTTAGCTCCCATTATAGGCAATAACTTCACATAAGAATTTTCAAGGGAAAATATTTTATTCCAGACTTGAATACTAAGATTGTATCTCTTTAACTTGGAGAAAGCTTCTAAAAGTTATTGTGATTGAGAAATTTACAGGGATGGGCCAGAATTAGGTAAATTTTCTGTTTTACTTTGTCATGCAAGTTTAGACAAATGTATTTATCTTGGGCATGTTCAATGCCTCACTATAAACTTTATCTGTGTACAGTAGAAGTGAGAGAACCAATGATCTAAGAGATAACTCAAACACTCTGCTTCCTCCATCTTTGCTTCAGCGACTCATACAGGAAACTTATTGCTGTGTTGAATTTAAGATAAGAGTTTCTTCTCATCCAAGTTACTCATCAGGCTAAACCACAGAGCTGAAGGAAAGGTGAGGAGGAAGGGAGTGCCCCACAGTTGAAGGGCTAAAAGGATGCAGCATAGAGAATTCAAACAGAGAGATCCTCACCACGCTGACACCTCCTTCTACATCTGTGTGGAGGAAAAGTACGGCGTGAAGGGCAGAAAAACAGAAAACAGAAATGCTCTGCTCTTGGAGAACTGCTGACCTAGGGCTACTACTGATCTTGACTGTCTTCCTAGTGGGTGGTAAGTTGGAGTCCCCTTTGAGAATGGTGAGAAACCTGGCTCAACTCTTCTGAGCTTTCTTTGCCTTCTTTCTGTGGCAATGCAAGTCAACTGCAATTGCTGATATAGGGGATGACTCCTAGGCTTAGCTTACTTTATCATCCTATTTTCCTCTGTCTTATTTATTTTTGTATCTGACTACAATATGCATCTCTATAATTTGCTTCTCTGCCCACTTCCTTATTCTCCCCTCTGCTTGAACAAAGCATGACAAATTAAATACGTACTAGTAGAAATCAAAGTCACCTGGGTTCTCTTTGTTTTCTTTCTTTAAAACAATATTTAGAAAACAATCCTAAGTCACGTAGGTCCACCTTACTAATAGTATAAATTAGGAAACTATTGTTTCTGATCACTCCCTGTTACTAGGTAATATAATATGCTTACTGTTGTGTGGTGCATCTAGGATTTATGTCTGTATTTATCTTTAAGATGTGTGAGCTGAAAGAGACAGTATGGGTTAGAGAACACACTCCTCAACATCTAGGTTCCTGTAGAACTGTAGAGAACTTGGGCTCTTGTGGGAACGTCCTGGTTTCACTACAGTGGGATCGGTAGGAGTTGGTGTGGGAGGAAGTTCCCAAGTTTCACTTTAGTAAATGGAGTAGCTATGAAGGAAAAGTGTAGTTAGCTTTACATTTTATAATTTAAAAATTAATAGAAAGAAAAGTCTTTTTTCCCATTTCTGAATCATTTAAAAATGTTGTTTACCTTTCAGTAAAAAAAATCTGTTTTCCACGTGTTAATCTTACTGGCGACCACATGTGGTAGAAATTGAGGCCTAGGTAGGTAAAAGGATTTGTCCAAGGTTAGATTCTTTTTTTTTTTTCTTTTTAAAAAATTTTATTTTAAAGATGTGGGGTACAGTTCAGGATTAGGTATACAAGTGGTCATCATGCAAGTAAAGTTTGGGCCTCCCTTTGGTCCCCACTTTTCCTGGTTTGAGATCAGGGACCCTTATTGATGTTGTGTCCCTCCCTGCCAAGGTTAGATTCTAATATGTGGTAGAATCACAGTCAGTAATAATGTATGTCAGTAAGCATCACTAAAAATCTGAGTGGCCAATTTTCCTTAGTTTTTTTTCATCATTTTGCTTCTCACTAAAGAGCACTAGCATGCACAACACTAGTATAAAAGTTAAGCTAATACTTATTTTAAAATTTAATAGACAATTACTTTTAAAACTATCAAGTAATCTGAATCTTTCAATAGTTGAGATCTTGTAGAAAGTTCTTCTAGAAACCAGTACAGGACCCAATCTGGCAGGGAGAAGCAAGATAGGCAAGGAGGTGCTTATCTCAAAATTGCATTATTACTTTTGGAAATGGAAAAAGAAAATCCCTACTACCCTGAGATTCCCATTTTAGAAAGTTTCATGATGCCTTTGAGAGACATTGGTAGCTGAGGAAAAATTTTCTTTGTAGAGGAAGATTCAGTTTAGGAAGAAAGGACATGTAGGAGGATAATTTCTGCAGGTACTTGGAAGTATAGCAAAAATTCTGGATTTGTAAATCATTCATGGAGTGGATGATCCCACAAAGAGAACAAACACAGAGGTAAAAATAATAGGATAAGCACTAAAGGTTTTGGGATTTGGGTCCCAGGAGTTAAAATGATCTGTTTTCTCTCTGTAAGAGAGAGCAAGACTGCAGAAGATGTGGGAATGGGGACAATGTGGGCTGTCACTTGCATATTTAGCCTTAAATTGGAGGAGGGACACTCTTCTGAAATTGAGGAGTAAGATGAGAAGTTAGATATCAGTATGATGATAGGTTGGGGGTGGCACTAAGGAGATGGGAACACATAAGAGAGTTCAGGGAAGATAAATTGCTTCCCCATAAGGTCTTGAGTATTTCGATTTATGGTGCTGGTTTATTAAATAACCCAATTGTTATTTGGCATATTGTTATATCTGAAGGATTAGTCCATACAGCAATTAAAATGTAGTAACCACCAATATATTTTTGCCTCTTCTCCCTTGCTATGCCTAACATACATTGATAACTCCTGACTGGGACTAGGGAGTAGATGTGTAGTTATGAAATAACTTAGGACTGTGTGGCGCTAATAGCCCTAAGAATCAAATCCACACCCGTTACTTTTTAAAATAATAGGAATAATAAATATCACTAATTCATATAATTCATGTAATAATCATGGTCACAATTTGCAAAGCCATTTGTCATTGCTTATGAATTTATCTATTTTCTTACTTGACCACTTTTTTCCACACTATGCGTACCAGATACAAAACCATGCCTACTGGTAATATTTTTCCTCACCATTGTCTTTCAGGGCCAAACCTGAGTGAGGCTGCAGTGCAGCGACAGTCCATTTTTGTCTTATGTTCACAGACTGAGTCGACCCGTCTAGAAGGTAATCTTGGGCTTTTGGTCCAAGGGAACTCTAATGAGGACTTGGATGTAAGCTGAGAGAGAGATGTCAGTACAACAGTGGCATATAAGGTGGAGATCTGGATCATTTGTTCAGGCAGGTGACTGACTGGTGTTCTCTTGACTGTCTGAAGGCTGATTCTAGATGCACTACTTCCGTTTCACAAGGGATTTCTTTACAATTTGGTGGGCCTAACAGTCCTCAGCTTGTGTGATGGGTTGTTCTATTTGCAGGATCACTTCATATCCCATGAATAGATACCCAGTCTTCGCCAGGACCCCACAGCATGCCATGAACTGTTTTTCAAAAGGTGACTAATTCTCTGCTTCATAATGTGACATTAACCAATTTCAGATGGCGTGGCTTTACCCCAGAACCCAAGGATTCTGCATGGTGACTCTCCTACTGGGTTCGTCTGAGGCTCCACGTTGCAGATTTATCACAGAATCCTTTATTACCACAGATATGCCTGATTTTATGAACTTATTTTCAGGGTTGGTGTACTGGAGTGTGGACATGTTAGAGATTCCTTTCTTAGTCTGGAGCACACTGGAACTAGCAGCATATTAGTGGGTTACAGTAATCTCAAATGTACAGCCTGCTGCCTCCTAAACCAAGTGCTTTTCTAGTTAGTGGTAGGAAGTAAGGTTAAATACCAGGTGCTTTTCTTTAAAGGAGATGTATGGTAGGACCCAGATCACTGGGCTGCTAAAAACTTCACTGATGTGTCAGGCCTTGAATCTTCGTCGAGTTTATCTTCCACTTCTGAAATGCATGTGATTGACCAAGGTATCCATAATACTTGCTGCTTCTTGCTCACCGGGTCTGATTAGTATATTGAAATCAATATAGTAGGCCAATGTGATGCTCTGCAGAATGCCCAGTCAGTCCAGTCCAGATCTCTTTAGATTATGTTGCATATGAGAGTTGAAATTAAAGTAGACCCGTGGCAAGACCATATTATGTACTGTTTTCTGTTCTGTGTGAATAAAAACTTGCTTTGATATTCCTTCCTGATGAATGTTGAAAATAATTCATTTGTCAGGTCAATAGCTACATTCTGCAGCTGGAGGCTGGTTAAAGTGCTCTAGTCAAGGTAGCTTATCTTACAGAGCAGCTGCTGTTGGGGATAAGACTTGGATAATTTTGCATTAGACCACTGAAATTCACCTTTCAGTGTTTTCTAGTCAAGCATGTGAATGTAACGGGGATGTTATGGGGACAACTATTTTAGTATCCTTTGAGCCTTTGAGTGAAGACCCATCTTTAAGTCTGCAATATTTATATTTATTTTCTGCCTTGGCCAAAATAGGCAGTTTCAGGGGGTTTCCCTTGGTATTTCCTATACAATAGCTGTTACTTTACAGATCAAGGAACCAACGAGAGGGTCTGCCAACTGCTAAGTGTGTTCATTCCATTTAAATCTTCAACTTAGAAAAACCTCTACTGGATGGGTCTGTGGACTTCAAGGGCCCACTGTGAGGGGAACCAGACCTAGGATTTATCTTATCACCTGACTCTGATATGTCCCTATTCTAACAGGGGGTCTAGGAGGTGCTTTGTATCTTTGAGTATCAGGATCCATTCAGATCAGAATTCAAACAACTCTCAAAAGATCTTGGTATTACTCCTTCCCCCAGTTATGGTTACCCAAATACAGAGTCATAGATCTTTTGGGGAAGAAGTAGGAGAAAGACTATTGCAGTAGTTCTCCAAATAAGGTTTTCAGATGCCTGGGGGTCACCAAGACCCTTTCAGTGAGTCCTCAAAGTAAAAATGAGTTTTATAATAATAATTTAAAATGTATGCTATTTGTCTTTTTAAAAAAACTGTGCTCGTATTTTTACAGATAGTACAATTGGATGGTTGTTTAAAATTCATGCCTTAGCATGAATAAAGTGTAGGGCACTGTATTAGTTTGCTAGGATGGCTGTAACAAAGAACCACAAACTGAGTGACTGAGGTAACAGAAATGAACTGTCACAGTTCTAGGGGCTAAAAATCTGAGATGATGGTGTCAGCAGGGCCATGCTCCCTCTGAAGGCACTAGGAAAGAATCTGTGCCAGGCTTTTCTCCTACTTTCAGTATTTCCTTGGTCTGTGGTAGTGTATCTTTAGTTTTTATATGATGCTTTTCCTGTGTACATGTCTGTGTACACATTTTTGCCCTTTATGAGGATACCAGTCACATTTATTAGGGACTCACTCTACTACAGTATACCTCAAATTAACTATACCTCAAATTAACATTTATAATGACAATTTTTTTTCTTATCTATTTATTTATTTGTTTCTGAGTTGGCATCTCACTCTGTTGTCCAGGTTGGAGGGCAGTGGCACGCTTCCGGCCACCAAGTAGCCGGAACTACAGGCGCGTGCTACCATGCCCAGCTAATTTTTGATTTATTGTAGAGATAAGGTCTTGCCAAGTTTCCCGGGCTGGTCTCGGACCCGCGGGCTCAGGCAATCCACTCGCCTCAGCCTCTCAAAGTGCTGGGAGCCACCAAGTCTGGCCAATGACCCTATTTTTAAATGAGGTCACATATCTGAGGGTCTGGGGGTTAGGATTTTAATATATATATTTTGGGGATACACATTTCAATCCATAACAGACATTAAGCTATACCAATAGTCATTGTTCTCTTCACTACACATACACATATAAACACACACTGTCTGTTTCACTTAGGAATGTCCTTGATGAATCAGTAAAAATAACTTATTTTATTAAATTTCAACCACTGAATAGAGGATATTTTTAATAGTCTGTGAAATTAAATTAGAAATACATTCAGTATCTGTGTCTTAACACAATAAAAAAGAAATTAGAAATACATATAATGTATCTTGTGCAAGAAAGTATGATCGTTATCTTAAGGAAAAACACTTGTATCAATTATATAAATTGTTTGAGTTGCAAGCTGAACCATCTTCAACTATATGTTTATATCCAGGTTGGGTAAAATATTCATTAAAAGAAATTCATTGTGTGAATTGAAAAGAGACCCAAAAGAAGAAATTGACATACAGAAATTTTTATCATTTTCCTTTTCTTATTGTGTCCAGTTAACACTTCATGTCTTGTATCAATCAATAAAAAGGCTGTGCTCAGTTGTCCTCCTGTACAATTGGCAACATTGGTACTAATAAGATGGGAAATAAACCTCAGAGACAAGCCTTCCTGTGCAAAAGCTTACAAAAGAGAAACAAATGAGATCAAGGACACCGGCTGTACTGATGAGCAAATAACCTGGGCCTCCAGACCTGATCAGAATCCTGACCTCCAGATTGAGCCAGTGGCCATTACTCATGATGGGTATTACAAGTGTGAGATGGCAACAATGCATGGGAATTTCCAACATGGATATCACCTCCAAGTGTTAGGTAAGGGGCATCATACACTGACTGTGGTATTTCACGTCACCAGATTTGTGACTGAAGCAAATGTCTCTAAATTCCATATCTTTTATGTTATGACTGAAGCATTTTTCCCTCACATCTCTGCAGTTACCCCCGAAGCGACCCTGTTTCTAAGTGAGAACAGAAGTGTGGTGTGCAAGGCAGTTGCTGGAAAGCCAGCTGCACAGATCTCCTGGACCCCAGAGGGAGACTGTGTCACTCAGCAAGAAGGTTGGGGCAATGGCACAGTGACTGTTGAGAGTACATGCCACTGGGAAGGCCACAGTGTGTCTACTGTGACCTGCTCTGTCTCCCATTTGACTGGCAACAAGAGTCTGTCCATAGAGCTGAATTCAGGTAAACATCTACTTATTTTAGAAGAGTGAACTTTATGCTCATCCTTTCCTTCCACAGAAGATAATAAATAACCTAACACAAGGTTAAAAGAATTGTGTTCATAATTTGAAAATATTCTAAGATGGAGAAATGCATTACTAGTCTGGAAAAATTGTATACTCCTTTACCAAATAGAAGAAATTCATTTAATAATTTCTAACCAGTACTTTACTATTTTTTAGTGGGACACCAGTAAAAGTATATTTACTAACTTAATGAACTATAGGCTTTTACTTTGAGATTAATTCTTGGAATAAAATATCAGTAGTTTTATAAAATTTTAACAATACTTATTTAGTAGATAGCCAAGAATGACATTTAATCTCTTACGATTTTTCGTTTTCTTGTAGTAGTCACCCTTTTATTTGTTACTCTAGGACAAATTTTTCTTCCCACCCTGTCCTCTCATCTGAAAGCAATCAATTAGTTAATTTACTAAACATTTACTGATTGTTCTTTATAAATTTGAAAATGATGATGAAAAGATGAAAAGACAAGGTCCACATCACATCTTTATATTGCTTTAGGATATGTAATCTGGTAATTAGAAATAAAGACTTTGGCATAATATGGCTTTTTGTTCACCAGTTGTGTGAACTGGAGCAGTATTTAATTTTTCTGTCCCATGGTTTCCTTATCTGTTTAAATAAAGATGATGGTACCCACCTCGTAGGATTATTGTATTACACACACACACACACACACACACACACACACACACACACACACACCACTGTGTATGCAATTGTAAGTATCTACTACACAAGTGGTACTATACAACTGGTACTCAATAAATGTTAGCCACTATATTTCCTTATATGAATGCATGTTAGCTATTAATACAAATTGACTATTATAATAATACTTTTATAATTATTATTAAAACTCATCTTACACATTAATTATTCCTCATAATGCTATGTTTATTTTTTGCAACAGATTTTATTGCGATCTAATTTATATACCATATAATTCACCCATTTAAAGTGTACGATTCAGTGTTTATGTGACCATTGCTACAATTAATTCTAGAATATATTTATCACTCCCCAAAGAAACCCTGCACCGTTTAGCTATATTTTCCATGATCAATCTCCCGTCAAGTCTAAGCTCTAACTTTAATACTTATCTCTAGACCTGTGCAGTTATTTTCAGTATTGCCTGGCTTTCCCTTCTGGAAACCAAACATTTAACCTATACTCTAAGTCTTTTTCAACTTATATCTCCTTGAAAGCTTTGTTTTATTAATTATCCTCTTTTGTTCAGTCTTTTCTGTTCCTGGAATCATTTCCCGAAAGCTTCTCATATAAACGTGTCTATTTTCCTTCCATGTTTAAAAGCTTGATTTTATGATTTCCTCAGACTTTTAGTTTTTGCCTTCTACTCATATCCAAGATTTTTAAAAAAGAGGAGTTTACACTCATTGTCTCTTCTATGTCACCTCACATCTGTCTTTTAACTCATTGTTCTCTTGCACAGAAAATGCTCTGACAAAAAAGCACTTAAGATCTCCCAGATGCCAAATGAAATATAAATTTTTGTTCTTTGTTAGTTTAATTCACTTATTTGTAATATTTTTCATTATTATTAGTTACTTTTAAATACTTAATTTTATATAATTCTTGCTAAATTTTAGTATTTAATTAACTTGTTTCTTTGTAATATTTGATATGGTTTTTTCCTCCCCTCTCATGTGTTTTCCTCCCACTCTCACTTGGTTCTTTTCTTAACTTTAAGTTTCTTAGCTTTCTTAAATAGATTCTTTTCTTCCATTCATTCCATGAATAAAGTTGTTTCTATGTTTTCCATCTTCTCATTTTACCCCTGAGTAATATCATCCGTATCTATGGCTTCAACCACTGCTTAATTCTTGACTCTCAAGTCTATATTTTTGCCCAGATTTCTGTCCTTGACTACACAACCAACTTCCAACTGAACAGCTTCACTGGATATATCAAGGGCACCTTAACTTACACGTTTCTGAAACAGAGGTCTTCTTCTGCATCCCTTCGAGTTCTGTATCTTATACCTTGATAAGTAATTCAAACCAGAAACCTTAAAGTATCCTAAATATTTCCCTTTCCTATTCCCTATATTAAACACCAGTTATTACATTTTGTTGATTTGACCTTAAAAATCTTTCTTACATCTGGGTGTTTCTCTTTCTCCCCACAGCCTTAATTGATTACATAATGTCTTTCACCCAGAATTATTGCAATGTTCTTGTGACAAGTCTTCTGGCCCCTGGCTTACCTTCTTCAATGTAACCCTTATACTGGTTTCAGAAGGACCTTTCTAAAATGAGAAGCATGTCACTCTTCTACTTACATTACTCCCATGGCTTCTTTTCGTGTCATGCTAAACACTTTGACAACATTGACCTGCTGCTCCCTCAGCCTTGTGTCTCTGTTCTCTCACATACATGTGGGCACCTCATGTATGTGGGCCTCCGTGGGCTTTTCAAAAGTGTTATGCTTTTGTATTCCTCTGTTTCTTTTTAAGTACAATTTCTACCTCTTCTCAAGGCACTTCTTTTCCTGTACTCTCTTCTTCCATTGCATTTGGTCAATTCTTACTGATGTTTTAAGACTTAGTTTGGCATTGATCCTCTGAAATGATTTTCTCTTGCCTTTAAGTTTGGTTAGCTATTCCTCTACTTTGCTCACAGAATGCTTCATGCTTGCCTCTGTCAGAGTAGTTCTGTAATTTATTGCTCTACATTGTTTTCACTACACTTCTGGCACCAAATGTGTGTGAGTTTTTTTTCCCCTCACACCAACTAATTATCCAACTCCCCAGACACCAACCAGGCATTCTACAATTTAATCCAATTCTGACACTAACTACCTGGAGTTAGTACAGATCCCACTGGTTAAGGCTTAGTCCCACAATACCTCCCCACTTCAGAAACCGTCACAAGTCTCAGGCTGCCACCTGTACTTCTAATCAATTGGCTATAAATTCAGAGAGCTTCCACAATCCCCTTGTCAGGTTTAATGATTTGCTAGCAGGCTCACAGAACTCATGTTAATCTGAAATAATCAAAAGAATCAGAATCCAGTTTAAAAGAGCTTATTTAAGCAAAAAGCTGAGAATGGCCATTTGAGTAACACAAATTCCAAAGAAATTCCAAAGAAATTGGGTCAGTGCTCCAAAGTTAAAATTTAAGGACTTGCTTATATAGGCAAAAAACAAAGAAATTTAGGAGAATTATAACATTTTAAATATAAAGTTTGGTTTATGAATTACAACAATTTAATTAAAGTTTGTTTTCTTTTCTGTACAGCTAGTTTTCAATTTCTTTCTAATTTTAAAGGAGTGTATTTAAAATTTCATCTTAAACAATGTGATAGTCATGAAGTCTTTGTGTGAGAGAAGAGAGAGGAAAGTTAATCAATAATGAAGATCAGCAGTTAAGAGGGAAGCAGTCTTCCCTGGCATCCTTTAGTTATTTACATTTTACAAAACAATGTAGATGAGGACAAAAGGCTAATCTATAATCAGGGTTACATGTGCCTAGGTTACAGCTGCTTGTTTATACGATTCAGGTCCCACAATCACGCTCCCTCAAAAATTTTAAAGTTTCAACAGCTTAGATTTTAAACTTATTTTCACATTCCACATGCCCTCCAAAAGGAGGAATAAGGAATTTTATTTACTATTTACAGTTTTTTTTTTTTTTTTTTTTGAGTTGGAGTCTCACTCTGTTGCCCAGACTGGAGTGCAGTGGCCGCTCCCGGCCACCGCAGCCTCGACCTGCTGGACTCCGGCGATCCTTCCGCTTCAGCCTTCCAAGTTTCTGGGACTACAGGCGTGTGCTACCACGCCCGGCTGATTTTTTTACTTATTGTAGAGATGAGGTCTCGTTGCCCAGGGGGGTCTCGAACCCGCGGGCTCAGGCAATCCACTCACCTCAGCCTCCCAAAGGCTCGGGATTACAGGTTGAGCCACCGAGCCCGGCTATTTCCAGTTTATTATAAAGGATACAACTCAGGAACAGCCAGATGGAAGAGACTCATAGGGTAAGATATGGAGGAAGCAGCTTCTGTGATGCCTCCCAGATAACTACTCTCCCAGTCCTTCATTGTGTTCACCAATTCGGAAGATCTCCCAACTCAGAAGCTCTCCAGACCCTGTTGCTTGGGTTTTATGAAGGTTCTATCACATGAGCATGATTGATTTATTTATTGGCCATTGGTGATTAGTTGAATCTCAAGTCCCTCTGATCTCCCAGGAGGTCAGTGGAAGGAGTGAATGGTGGTGTGGGGCTGAAAGTTCCAACTCTCTAATTATGCCTTGATCTTTCTAGTGATCAGTTCCATCCTGAGGCTTTCTAGGAGGTCCCAGCCACAATTTATCTCCTTAGCATATGAAAATTACTCTTATCACTGTGGAACTCCCAAACATTTTTGGAGAAACCCCCAGAACTGTGCTCGGAACTGCCAGGAACAGGAAAAAAAGACTAAATATATATTTCTTATTGTCTTGCAATCACCTACTTCTCTGACTCCCAATAAACTTCTTGAGAGTAGGAATCATTTCTTTATTTCTATATCCCTAAGATCTGGCACAGTACCTGGAACATAAAAATAACTGCAGAATTCGGTTTAGATAACTGCAGATTCATCTCTACATATTCCACTCTCTGTGCTCCAATTATGACTTAGGTTAACTCATCTTCAAATCTTTTCTCAAGTTATTTCTTTACCTTGAAAATTTATCTCTTCTCCTTTCAAACTATTTAATCCTGTAGACCAGAAAGGCTCAGTTCAGGTGCTATCTCCCTGACCTCCCAGTTACAGTTGACTATCTTTCTTATTTCTTAGATCAGAGGTTCCCAACCCTTTTGGCATCAGGGACCAGTTTTGTGGAAAATAATTCTTCCATGGACCAGAGTGGGCAAGGAGATCGTTTCAGGATGATTCAAGAGATTTATATTTATTGTGCATTTTATTTTTACATCCCTCTCATGTTCAGTTCACAATAGGACTTACACTCCTATGAGAATCTAATACCACTGCTGATCTAACAGGAGGTGGGACTCAGGTGGTAATGCAAGCATTGGGGAACAGTTGTTAATACTGTTGATGAAACTTCACTTGCTCACCCTGCGCTCACCTTCTTGCTGTGCAGCCCAGTTTCTAACAGGCCATGGACCACTACCAGTCCTTGACTGAGAAGCCGGAGACCCCTGTCTTAGATGATTTACAATCTGTAATGCTCACTTAGCTCTATTTGCTGTCTTATAAGTTATCTTTTCTTTTTTATGGGTTAGACTTCTCCATTTGGATAGTGAGCTTTTTGGGAACTATAACCACATTGTCTGTGTTTCCTCACAGTGCCTAACAGATTACCTGACATTCTTCTAGTTTAGTCTTTGAGTAGGTTATTTAATGGGATGAAATTACCTCTTAGAGCCAAAAGTCAAATTGTATAGCATTCACACCCTTTTTAGGTTACCATTTTCATAGGAGAAAAGGCTTCAGAATGATGTTTCTAACTAGCTTCCTTTATCTTTTCAACAACTCTTGTGGCCATTTCACAGAGAAATAAAATAAAAGTAGGAAAACATAAAATACCCTGCTAAAGGGGATACATCAACTCAGTGAGAAAATCACCTCACTGTGTGGAAAGTGTTATCAGATCATGCACAAAATAGTAAGAATAATGCCCTCCAAAAGACTAATATTTGCTTGGGAAGTCAGAAAGTACACTTTTATCAAATTGGGAAGCATTAGCAATGCTTAGCATGCATTTATTTGTTTAGAAAATATTTGTTAAAAACATGCCATATACAAAAGTGGTCCCTAAATTCTGCCATAAAAGAATAACACATTAGTAACATTTGAATTGTAATTTAGAAGGTTTTTGATTATGATATTCTGAAACTTTAGGAATATTTGAAAATGTTCTTTTAAACTATTGACTCTTATTCATTAATTAGCAGAATCCTTGAAATTTTTATTATTTTTTTTACCCCTGTTTGAATGTAAAGGTCTCAGAACTTCAGTATCTCCAGTGTCACCCTTACTGATCATTCTGTATGTGAAACTCTCTCTTTTTGTGGTCATTCTGGTCATCGCAGGATTTGTTTTCTTCCAGAGGATAATGATTGCAGGTAGGAACGAAAGTAAAGTATAAGACAAGTTAGAAAAAAAAAAATCATTGCAAGACTTTGAATTTACAATGTACTGGGAAGAGCTTCACACTTTTTTGGGTATGTTGTATTTTCCCTCCAGCCTCTTGTGTAACATAAAGACTTTGTAACAACCAAGAACCCAAACTGCCTGCAGCAGTGGGGCCGGCACTTCTGCTCTGTCATGGTTTTGACCTGAGAGGGACCTGGTCTAGCCTACACCTTGAGAATTCAGTGGGGAAAATGAAGTTGCTGGAGTTATTGAAGTGTTTACTTCCAAATTTCTTTGGTAAGGGCTTATGTTCATTCCTGCTTAATTATATATTTTACGGTTTTTTTTTTCTAGAGAATGAAAACAAAAAGAGCTGGAAGTCAATTTAGACTTGATGAGACATCACAAAAAAAGCAGCCATTTGCAATCAGCCTTCATGTTCAAAGTCCAGCTTAACTGCTCCTGTGACTTTTTTGATACCTTAGTGTTTATGAGAATCGATGGATAGTTACCAAGACTGTTTCAAACTCTTAGCATGCAGTATAAATACACATGCAGAAGGTTAGTGCAGGCCATCATAAATGCCTAGAAGGATTTATCAACTTCTTCCTTTCCCTCAGTAAACTTTTACTTACAAAAGTAAAACAACCCTGCTTCTCAAACTAGAGAGGAAGATGGCTCAACAAAAGGCAAATAACAGTACTGGGCAGGTTTTCTACACACTTTGTGTTCTTTCGTTGGTGCTTTCCTCCTAACTTCTTGGTTCCTCTGCCCACTTTAGATGCAAAGCAACATTGCAATGGCAGGAACCACTATACACATGCCTACAAGTCAGCTAGTGGCCAACCTTCCATCTCTTTCTTGCTTGCTAGTGATTCGTTGGACAGTTGTATTGCATGCTTGAACTATCACTGAGTAGATGGCTAGGAGTCATTTTTAGCAGTGCTTGCATTTTAGCAGAAATTATAAGTTGATCCTGACTAAGGAACAATAAGGGTCATTGGAGATAATGCTGAATTTCTCTTTATGTTTTAGAGTTCCAATGCCTCAACTTCCTTGCTTGTCTGCACTCTAAGCTGCAGAAGTTGAGATGGATTGAAGGAGTAAGATATTAGTGAAACTCGAATATTTTCTAGGGCCATTGCAAACTGCCATTTTCATAGGAGAAAAGACTTCAGAATGATGTTCCTATTTAGTTTCACTTATCTTTTTTGACAATTCTTGGGGCCACTTCACAGATAAATAAAAGGAAATTAGGAAGACATAAAATACCTTGCTAAAAGTGTTACATCAACTCAGTGACAAAATCACCTCACTGTGTGGAAAGTGTTTTCCGATCACCTTCACTTGATACAGATGATAATCAAGTAAAAAATTTTCTTTTATTTAAGGGAAAATATTTCTTACATAAAGTAGTAGGTGATTTGGACTATAACTTTTATTTTTAGCAAAGTCCTAAGGAAAAAACAAGTGCATAATATTGGGGGATATTATATGTGTGTGGAAATTTAGTTATTGAAATAAACAGTCCTGATATTTCAATGTATTTGTACTCAAAACTTTAATTCTTCCTTGTATCACGCTCCAGTGCAGTTATTGGGGCTGGGGCAAGGGGCTGGAGGGGCACTGCTTTACGCTATCATTTTATCTTATGACTCTTCCCTTCTCTTAGTATTCTCTATTCTGCTGGTGAATAGGAAACAGAGAGAGAGAGAGAGAGAGAGAGAGAGAGAGAGGGGCTAGCCCTGGAGTAGCAATCACTTCTGTTCCATTGGCTAATTCTCAGTCATATGGCTTCTATGGAGGTTGGAAGATAAAATCTAGCTCCCTTGGAAGAAAAGAATTCAGGCTTGGTGCACATCTAACCAGTCTCTGCCCACAGTAAAGAAGAGGACAGAGAGATTAACACTTACTCTTTTAGTAATTGAACATGAATCAATAAATAATTTAATTAACAATGTCAGGTATATATAATACAAGCCCTTGTGTGTCTTTCTTTTTTATTTTAATTACCTTATGTTTAATATAGGACATAGGATGGGAAGAAGTCTAGTATTATGATTCTGTAACTAGAAAAATATTATGACAGAGATTGCTAGTTACCTGGTCCAATGCTTATCTTGCTCTTTCTTCTTGTAGAAGATGATTATATTCATGACTCTGAATCTTTACCCTCTCCTCTATCCATGTAACTTCTCAGTTGCTTGTAGAGTTCTTTCCAGGCAGACGATACACACTTCTCCAGCCATTGTAATTTGCTTTGGCCAATAAAATAAAACAGACGTGGTAGTATAATGGTTTTGAGCACAGATCTCAAGAACTTCTACATGTCTCTACTTGCTACTCCATGAGAACATGCCTAGACCAGCCAGATGGAGGATGAGAATCACATAGAGGCCAGGCTCAGTGGCTCAGCCTGTAATCCCAGCACTCTGGGAGACTGAGGCCAGTGGATTGCCTGAGCCCGTGGGTTCAAGAACCACCCAGGCAACCTGGCGAGACCGCGTCTCTACAATAAAATTAAACACACCCGGGCATGGTAGCGCACTCTGTAGTTCCAGCTACTTGGAGGGCTGAGGTATAAGGATTGCTGGAGCCCAGAAGGTTGACACTGGGGTGGCTGTGAGTGTGCATGCCACTGCACTTCAGCCTGGGCAAAGGAGTCAGACTCCAACTCAAAAAAAGAAAAAAAAAAAAAAAAAAAAAAAAAGAATCACATAGAGTGGAACTGAGTCACCTCAGTCCCACCTCCACATCTCTGTTGAGGCTAGTCTAGATGACCCAATAGTCAGTCACCCTCTAAACACATGAGGAAGCTCAGTCAAGATCAGCAGATCTAACCTTCAGTTGACCCCTGCCATATGAGCAATTGTTGCCACAGAGGTTTTGTGGTTGTGTGTTACAAAGCATTACTGTGGCCTTAGATAATGGATACCTTGCTTAATAACATAACTCCATTTTAATTTACTGTGGGGATATACTTAGCTAAAAAACATTTCTCAGTTTCCCTTACTGAGTATGACCACCCACATGAAATATAAATATAAATCTTGTGTGATATTTTCAGGAAAAACTCTTTTTTTTTAATAATCAATATTTTTTATTATGATGTTATGGAGTACAGTTAAGGGTTAGGTATACAAATACATTTCATTCAGGCACCCTATTGATAAGAGGTGCTTCCCCATCCCAGACAGATATTTGCTACTGTTAATCCCATCTCTCTACCTCCCCATAGTTTCCCACTACTGTCAGTCATTTTCTTATAGTATTACATTGAATGTTCAAGGTCCATTATATGAGTGAGAATATGTGATACTTGGATCTTTGTTTCTGTGAGAGGTCACTCAGTATTATAGACTCTAGTTCCATCCAGGTTGCTGCGAAATTCATGATTTTGTTCTTTTTTATGGCTGCATAGTATTCCATCGTGTATATGTACCACATTTTTTAATCCAGTCCTCTTTTGATGGGCAGCATGGTTGCTTCCAGGTTCTTGCTATTGTGAACAATGCTGTGATAAACATACGTGTGCGGGTATTTTATTTATAGAGTGATTTAAGTTCTTCAGGATATATTCCCAGTAGGGGGATTGCGGGGTCATATGGGAGGTTGGTATTTAGAGCTTTTAGGAATCACCACACTGCTTTCCACAGAGGTTGCACTAGTTTACACTCCCACCAACAATGTATAAGTGTTCCCTTTTTGCCACTCCCTCTCCAGCAGCTGTTATTTTTTGAGTTGTTGATAATTGCCATTCTGACTGGAGTTAGATGGTATCTCAGTGTGGTTTTGAATTGCATCTTCCTGATGATTAATGAGGTTGAACATTTCTTCATGTGTTTGTTGGCTGCTCGGATGTCTTCTTTTGTGAAGTGTCTGTTCATATCTTTGGCCCACTTTATAATGGGGTTGTTTGTTTTTTTCTTTTCAGCACATTTGAGTTCCTTGTAGATCCAGGATGTTAAGCCTTTGTCAGACCGGGTGCTGGCAAATACTTTTCCCCAGTCTGTAGGCTGTCTCCCTGCTCCTGCTCCCTGATGGTTTCTTTGGCCTTGCAGCAGCTTGTCAGTTGAATAAGGTCCCACTTGTCTATCTTCTCTCTTATGACCTGTGGGTTTTGGGTTTTTTTCAGGAATTGGATGCCAGTTCTGATTTCCATGAGGGTATTTCCTTCATTTTTTATGTTTCTTATGGTTTGAGGTTTTACATTTAGATCTCTGATCCATTCGGAGTTAACCTCTGTGCATGGGGATAGATGGGGGTCCTGTTTCAATCTTCTGCATATGTTCAGCCAGTTTTCCCAGCACCATTTACTGAATAGGTTCTCCTCTCCCCAGTGGTAGGTGGTGGAGGCCTTGTCGAAGATGAGTTGGGTGAGCAATTGAGGTTTTGCCTCTGGAATCTCAATTCTATTCCATTGATCTATATGCCTGTTCCTATACCAATTTCAAGCTGTTTTGATGATTGTAGCTTTATAGTAAAGTTTAAAGTCTGGTAATGTGATACCACCTGCTTTGTTTTCTTTTTTTCTGAGGATTGTTCTGGCTATTCTTGGATGTTTGTGTTTCCATATGAATTTCTGTGTTGTCTTTTCTAGGTCTGAGAAAAATGTTGCTGGTAATTTGATGGGTATTGCATTGAATTTGTAGATTGCCTTAGGTAAGATGGACATCTTCACAATGTTGATTCTTCCAATCCATGAGCATGGGATATTTTTCCACTTGTTTGTGTCATCTTTGATTTCTTTGAGCAGTGTTTTGTAATTTTCATTGTAAAGGTCTTTCACGTCTCTGGTTAGGAAGATGCCAAGGTATTTCATCAAATGATTCTTTAAGTGTTAAAATATGCTATGCAGATCCAGAATTCTGGCTGGATACATTTAGTTATCAGTGGCCTACATGTGAAGAATTCAGATTTTTTGTCTGCACTTAGATAAGCACTGAGCATCATGTGAGCAATCTTATAGTATAATCATCTAGTCAAACGGAACAGCTTTGTCCACTTGCAGAGATAGCAGGCAGTGTCTGTCATCCATTGCTGACTTTAAAAATCACATTATGAAAAAATAAAGATAAAATCACATTATAGATTAGTAATATCTAATTGGTGAGCTTCAAACTAAAGGTGGAGAATTAAAGACAGTCATTTTGCCGGCAAAATCAACACACTTTTTGAAATGGTCTTTGAAAGGGCTAGAATCTTGACTGGGATCTAGATAGTTGGTGGAATATTTTTTAAAGATGTGGAGTACGATTCAGGGTTAGATATACAAATGTTAATTATGCAGGTACCCTTGTGATTAGGTGTGCCCTTCCCTCCCCTGGCAGTTTTTCTCAACTGCCAATCCCACCCCCCCTTCCCTAGCAGTTTCCCACTACTGTCAATTCCTTTCTTATAGTATTATGATAATTGTTCAAGGCCTGCTTATAAGTGAGAACATATGGTACTCTGTTCTTTGTTTCTGTGATTGATCACTGAGTATGATCAACTCTAAATCCATCCAAGTTGCTGCGAAGTTTATATGTTTGTCCTCTTTATGGCTGCATAATATTCTATTGGGTATACGAACTGCATTTTTAAAAATCCAGTTCAGCTTTGATGGGCAGCATGGTTGGTTCCATGTTTTTCCTATTGTGAATAGAGCTGCAACAAACATGTGTGTGCAGGTATCTTTTTTGTAGAATGATTTGAGTTCCTCCTGGTATATTCTCAATAGGGGAATTGCTGGGTCATGTGGTCAATTTCTAGTTGTCTTAGAAATCACCACACTGTCTTCCAAAGAGGTTGCACTAGTTTGCTTTCCCACCAGAAGTGCAGAAGCGTTCCTTTTTCTCTGCATCCTTGCCAGCATCTGTTGTTGTTTGTTTCATTAATGATGGCCATTCTTACTAGGATTAGGTGGTATCTCAATGTGGTTTTGATTTGCATTTCTCTGATGATGAGTGAGGCTGCACACTTTTTCATATGTCTGTTGGCTGCCTGTATATCTTCTTTTGAGAAGTGTCTGTTCATGGCTTTTGCCTACTTTTTAATGGGCCGTTTGTTTTTTTTCTTTTTGGTGCATTTGTGTTCCTTGTAGATCCTAGATGTTAGGCATTTGTCAGCTATACAATTGGCAAATATTTTTTCCCACTGTGGGCTGTCTTCCTGCTCTCTTGATCGTTTCTTTTGCTTTGCAGAAGCTCATCAGTTTGATGAGGTCCCACTTGTCTATCTTATTTCTTATGGTTTGGGCACTTAGGGTTTTGATCAGGAATTGGTTGCCAGTTTATTTGGGGGATTTTTAAGGGTTCATAAGTTTTAGAGTAAGGGCCATTTGATACATGGGCACACTTGCATATACATTACTTGAAGATGTGACTAAATATATAGCAATTTCAACCCAAACAAGACTTACTGATGTGGTTAAAGTGAGTTCATATAATACTGATTTTCTGGACTTGAGGATATTTTAGGAGACTATGGGTAACATAGGTTAGAGTGAAGAATATATACCGAACATAGTTTTGATCATTTATAATGTTTCAGGCTACCAGCTCTGCAGTCTAATTAAATTTAAAAACACATGAAGCATTATTAATATATTAATTCTCTCTTAATTCTATTTTAGTGCTGGAAAAAACTAAGAGAAGTAAAGTAACTTCTAACTGAAGATTCTATAGCCAGTGGATTTCGGAGTTGGAATCCAAACTTAAGACTGCCTGATTCTAAGGTTAGTGAAAGCATTTTCCACCATAGAGCACTACAGTAAAATCTCTGTTTACAGGACTTTCCAACCTGGGGTCTATGGATACTCAAGTGATTTGTGAATGAAATTTAGGAAACCTAGAAACATGATGGGAAAAAAGTACATCTTTCTTTTCCCCAAACTTTAATTGAAGTTTAGCATTTATTTAAATTATAAACATTAGCAAAAGCCTCAGACATTTTAGCCCTTGCTTTTGTTTCGTTTTACATTCATAAGGGAGGAAGAACAAAAATAAGATATTTAAGAATAAGAATAGTGGACAAGAAAAAGTTCAAAGGCAACCTTTCTGGTGATAGTAATTCAGATCATACACATTTGTAGCCCCTAAATAAGTGGTACTCAAACATGTCTGAGAATCAAAACATCTTTAGAGTTGGTTAAATATATAAATTCCTGAACTTTGCTCTCCAGAAACTTTGATATGGCTGGTCTTGAGGTAAA